ACCGGAGCCCACTTCTCTTCCGGGAACTGCTGATGACCCGTCCACACCTTGGGAATTCCGTCCTCCATAATCACCAAGCTCAACTACTCAGCACACCGCTTTTCGAATGAAGGTCCCACATACGGCGCCAAATGGTAACACAAAACTCTCCGAGCGGTTGGAATCCGAGTGATCACTTTCCTTCTCGCCGGTTAAATGTCGTGCATCTACAAAGAACTCTCACACCGGAGGGTTTTTCCAGTGAATAGCCTCTAAAGCTTAAGTCAGTGTTTGTTCAATTAATTCTCAAGAGTGAAAATAGAATGATCGTGTCGAACAAGAAAAGCTCACCCCATATATATAGGGGTGAGATACCTGCCCTAGGGATCTGCCCAGATCTGTAGAGTTGGCTTCCCGGGTCTACCCATCTGTACATATAGTGTTCGTGTGTCAGAGAGTCGTCGCCCCTATCCTCAGCACCAATACCTCTACACCACGTGTCCCCTGCTCATGGGTAAAATATTCTCCCCTTGATTCTCCTGACGTTACTCTGACAACTCTTCCATGGTTGACCTTATCCAAGTCAATCTTTCACGTCATGCTTTACGTACTGGGTGCTCGACCATTAGGTCACCACCTAACTTCTATATCCACCATCTGAAAAACTATTCACTCGATCTCTCTCCCCATCGACTAGACTTTCTCTGTCTTTTAGGTTGTCCCATGTATCGAGATTCTCATCTTCTCAATCTTGAGATATTCTTGAGAGTTTCTCTCATATCCTTTTCGACCGGCTTAGCCTTATTTATGCTCGGCTTTGCTTAAACCGTTCGTGGGCCCGGTTTACTGTTGAGGTATAATATCCCATATCAGACTTAGTACCCGGAGCTAGCCCTGTTTCGACATGACACCGAAGGAGCTTCAAGAGCTCAAGGCCCAAATTCTAGAGTTTCTCGATTTCGGTTTTATTCGACCGAATGTTTCTCTGTGGGGATCACCCGTTCTGTTCGTGAAGAAGAAGGATGGATCTATGCGCATGTGCATCGACTAATGTGAGCTTAATCACCTTACAGTTAAGAACAAGTATCCTTTTCCCCGCATCGAAGACCTTTTCTACCAGCTGAGGGGAGCCAACATTTTCTCAAAGATCGATCTGAGATCTAGCTACCATCAGCTGAAGATTAGAGATTCCGACATCTCTAAGACCGTGTTCCGGACTAGGCACGGAGATTATGAGTTCATGGTGATGCCGTTCGAGTTGAGTAGTGCACCAGCGGCGTTAATGGACCTTGTGAATAGGGTGTTCCATTCGTATCTAAACTAGATCGTCATCGTGTTCATCGACGACATTCTAGTGTATTCTCGAGACGTAGAACAACACAAAGAGCATCTTCAAATTGTGGTAGAGACCCTTCGCCATGAGAAGTTGTATGCAAAGTTCTCGAAATGTGAGTTCTGGCTAGACCGAGTGGCATTCCTTGGTCATATTGTGACGGCTAGAGGCATTGAGGTTGATCCCGAAAAGATTGAAGACGTTACTAGATGGAAGACGCCGAGAAACACCAGCGACATCCGTAGTTTCCTAGGATTGGCAGGATATTGGAGGTTCATCGAGGGCTTTTAGAAAATAACTCAGTCGATGACCCAGTTGACGAAGAAATCGGCAAAGTTTGTTTGGAGCCCCGAGTGCGAGGCCAGTTTCCATGAGTTGAAGAAGAGACTGACCACCGCACTAGTGTTGGCTATTCCCAACCCTTCTTTAGACTTCACCATATACATGGATGCTTCGAAAATGGGCTTAGGCTGTGTGTTGATGCAGCGCGAGAAGGTGGTAGCTTATGCGTTGAGGAAGCTGAAGCCTCACGAGCAGAACTATCCCACACATGACCTGAAGTTAGCCCAATGGTCCAAGGGGTGAAGATCTGGAGGCATTACCTTTACAAAGCGAAATGCGAGATATTCACGGACCATAAGAGCCTGAAGTACATTTTCACTCACAAGGAGCTAAATATGCGGAAGATGAGATGGTTAGAGTTGGTCAAGGACTATGACCTCACTATTAGCTAGCATCCCGGGAAAGATAATGTGGTCGCCGACGCCTTCAGGAGTTTGAGCGGCAAGAGTTAGAGACGGTGGAGCCGACTCCGACGTCCGGTGGCGTGTTGACTGCTTTGGTTGTGGGTCTGACTCTTCGGGAGAGAATAGTAGCCGAGCAGCCAAACGATCGTTTCTTATGCCGGATGAAGGAGTTGATGGAGGCTGGCAAGGTCGAAGGTTTCGCAATTGCAGCCAATGGTGCGTTGGTCTTCGAGGGAAGACTTACGTTCCGAAGGTTTGGGAACTGTGACGGGAGATACTGAAAAAGGCTCATAGTGCCCCGTACACCGTCCATCCTGGTAGCACGAAGATGTAACAAGAAAGGCTCACCCCCATATATATAGTGGTGAGATACCTGACCTAAGGGCTGCCCGGATTTGATGAGATGTCTGCCCAAAACCTGCCCGTCTGTACACACACATTGTGCATGTGTTAGAGGTGGCTGTCGCCACTATCTTCTGCACCAATCTTCTTTTTCCGTGTCCTCTGCACATGGGATAAATATTTCCGTATGTCCCACTGACATCATACTGACATTCCGTTAGAGGCTCTCCTTTTTTTACCTTATCTAAAGTCAATTTCCTAAGTTGCATTTATTCTACAGTGTGATCGACCATCAGGCTATCTCCAGTCTACAGATCGACCATCTGGGTAATCCCTTGCTCGATCCCGTCGACTTCGATCGGACCTTCTTAGTCCTTTCGATCATTATGTTATCTGGCATTAGCCACTTTGTTCCATATTATTTCAACCAATACCGCCTCTTTTATATTTGGGTTTGTTCGACCGGCTCATTGAGCCGGTTTATTCCTTTGGATATAATATCCCATATCATCTACATATACAATTTGTTTGATATTTTCAAGAAAGTATGTGCAATGCAGAAAAGTTTTTGAGATCTACAGCATATTAAATTTTAGAAATTTTTTGCCGACACATAAGGTCTGATATTGCTCTGATATTTTGATATAACCTGATGTGTTTGGTTTTCAAGTCCATTAAATTTATA